ATTGTGAAAACTACTCGTGGTCTTTGATCCTGTTCTGGGAAGCTCCCAGGTGACCCAGGTATAATTTTGGCCTTCCCAGCCAGCACTGGGGGGATCTGTGTTGGGACACCTGCGAGCTGGAATGTGTCTCACCAGCTGGAAAAAGTTTTTTATGGCTACATGAAAGGTGAAGGGAATGTATAGCTGTAAGGTTATTTTAGAGGGAAGCCAAGAAAAACCACGGCTGGGACTTCTCTGCAAGCAGGGAATTTAATTCATTTTTTAAAAAAGTGTTTGAAAACAAAAGCCCTGATGGTCTCTGCTTTCTCATTCGTTTCTCATGTCATATAACTCACCTTTGGTACACTCAGTTACCTGACAAGGGTTTTCATAAAGAAATGTATTCCTATGAATACACACACTATATATACTTGAGGGATCATTTCCCTACAGTAACTTTGTGTTCCTACATGAGGCAAAGTGAAGAATTGACCCTAATTCTTTGGCTGCACAAGAGCAAGAGGCCTAATGGCTCTTCTGTGCTTAGATCTATTTGCTGAAAGGAGTTTAATAACATAATAATGTTGCTGCCTTCCGCTGTCATTTCTTGGGTTTTCCATCATCTGCTTGATTGGAGCAAATTCCCAAAAGAGTTCTGGTATTCTGGTCCATTTCCTAATCAAATAGGTTCATTCCTTATGTAATTTTCCTTGTCCTGAGGGGGAAGGACATGTATATTATTGTTCATTCCATGCAGGTTTGAGATCAAAATCATATCATAGTCCCATTTCCCCTCCTCCCCTACCCTTGATTCCCTTTGTGCAGTCACTTGGAGGATGCCACCACACGTCTCCCTTCTCACCAAGGAACTTGTGTTACCAAACAGAGCAAACCAATGTAAGCAGCAGTGCAGGCTTTGGGAGGCTGCAGAAGAGCAGGGTGCCCTGTTCAGAACCCCAGCTCGAGTTTCCTCGAGTGCTCTTAAACCTTTGTGACACTAATCAGCCACAAAATGATAATGATCATGTAAGGCAAGCAATTATCCCAGGTTTCCTGGGATAGTCCAACCACAGGGACCAATCCTAATTTAAATTAGCTTTTTAAAATTTAAATGTTAATTTTAATTTAAAGCAGCTATAACTGCCTGTTATATGCATGTGTTTTTCTTAAACATTTCTAACTATAGTTATCAAGTGAAATAAAAAATTGTATTTTGCTCTCCTGCAGGGACTGTGCCTAATCCTGGATTACTGACATCTGTAAATCATTCCAGGGCTAAATGACAGCTGGGACATGCAAACCCCACAGTGAGTAAGAGCTGCTCCTCAATGCCTGGAAACTTCTTGGCAATTTATGGCTGACTTGTAATAATTAGCTTAGGCTTCATTCTCTTTGATAGTTGTGTGATATTGGTGTTATTTTCTTAGCACCAGAGTCGATTGTTTAATCACAAGAAAAATGACCTTTCTGGTGAAGATTAGATTTCAGCTAAGCCTCATTTTGTGTTAATTGTCTCACTGACAACTTCCTCTCCTTCTCCCCTTCCCCCAAATAAGCAGAGGAATGATGGAAATCTGGAATTAATGTTTCCATGGAGATGATGTAATTTCCTGAGTTGCTCCAAAATAATCTGAATTTGAAAACTCTTTTAACTACTAATTTGAGGGAAAGTATAATAAATAATACAAATATATTAATGGCTAAAACACATAATCTCATTTTAGGTAGTTTATGCCCAGTTCTCTAATAATGCATTCTGGGCTTGCCTAACAAGAGGCTAAGCACAAGAAATACAAGGTTGAAACTCAGAATTTGTGATATTTATCCCTGTTGCTAGTGAAAAAGATCACAGTAACTGTTTATACATCTGTTAAAAGCTACTCTCCTTGAAAACAATGAAAATATATAATAGTGAATAATGAGTTTTTCATTTGTGAGATGAGGGGCAGATTGTAAAGAGGTTAGAAATTAACTTTATATCTCAAAATGAAAGGGTTCCAATATCCATGTCATGACTATCCAAGGAAAAGTAAAATTAAAGCTTTTTTTAGACAAGGGCTGAAAATTTAAATAGCAGCCTAAGGTTCCCCTGCTGCAGTGAATTTGGCTTTGACTGCCATATTTTGTATTGTTCTGGTGTAATAATAATTATGGGATGGCTTTGCTCACCATGGAAAACACATGTTTTAATAATTCTGTGCTGCTTACCAGAGCAAGATTGAATAAATGGGCCATGGGGCAGATGAATGAGACTTTTACTGCCTTTATTAAGAGTATCAGATGCTTAATTGAGAAACCATAATGAAATTCAGAAAAGCTTTTCCAAATCATCACTCTCCTTGGAGATGCCTCAATTCTGCAAGTTTGGAAAGCTTCTGAAACTTCTCAACAAATGATATTTGGTAAGTGTGAACTAGAATTTGAGGTTTAACAGTCAGGAGAAATAGAACAAAGAAGCTGTTTTTAGGAGATGATCCTTGTTGTACGTTTCTATATAAAAGAGAAATAATTTTATTTGTGCAAGCACAGTGCTTGGGGACGTGGTTGAGTGGTGGTTTAAGGTTTATGGTTGAACTTCAGGGATTTTTCCAATCCAAAAGATTCTGATTCTCTAAAATCAGTCTTGCTGAAATTCAGATCTATTTCCAAATTGCTGGGAGTTCAAACAGGCAATTGCTGGCTCCATCTCCAGTGGTTTCTGATTATCTTTCATGCAGGTTAAAAACATTTTTTGTTCTTCTGCTGCTCATTGCAGGGACAGGTGTGTTCCACTTTTCTCACCTTCAGCTGCTTCTGAGTGGTTTTCAATAAATTGCATTGCAAGACTCAGCTCCAAACTCTCTTTGACTCCCAACTGACAAATCTGAACCCCTTGGAGTGCAGAAGAAATAATGTTCTAAAAATGGGAAGGATAATTCTCATTTCACTGACCATGCCAATTTGGTTCTTAGTTCCTCTTTCCCTTTGTTCAGTTCTTTTGCTGAGTAGGTTTTTCCCCCCAATGCTTCCAAATATTTTTTGTAAGCTCCTAAATTATGTGTAAGACTTCAGCATATGTGTCAGTTTAATGACAGAAAATCCACTTTATGTGTGCTTAATTCTCATATTAATTATTTTCTTATTCTGCACATGCCTGTCTAGAAGAGACAAAATTTAAATTAATTCAGGAGGTCTGAGAACACTGATGGAGTCTTGGTTTTAGCATAGGTTTCTAGCTACATTATCATTGTAATTGTGCAATTGTAAATGGTAAAAAAATATTTTATTTTTCCAAAACACACCAGAAATGACTCTAGTACTTTCCTGGCATTGGTAATTATTCTGTGCTTGCCTGCTTTTAATTTCAACATTTTTTCATTCTCTGGGAATAATCACAAACATCAGAATTGTACCAGATTTCTATAATTGAGTCCCCTCCCTTCTATATCATAAATTTAAATATTAATGGGAAACTGTTTCAAAATCAGCTTCTGGCTGTTTGTAGGCAGATCCCCTAGTGCCATATGGAGCTGCTATGAGTGGGGGGCATAGGAAAAGAGTTTAGTTCATTATCTTTGAGGACTTCCCAGGAATTAAATTTTAATAGTGAGTATTGAACTTGGATTTCCCCTTATAGAAAACATTGAAGGAACCAGTGAAGTTCAAATGCATATAAACTGAAATGGAGTTTGATAAATTACAGGAATTCTGTTCTAATTTACAGAAAAACAATGTCTTTGTCATCTTGAAGCAGCAATAAAATTCTAAATCTATTCATATCCTCATATACTCAGAAACTCTCATGGAAGTTACATTTTAGTCATGAAGTGAAAAGGCTGCAGTTGTGAGCACAAACCTAAATAATGTGAAATACATGGCACAAGCAGACCTGAGCATGAGCCATCCTTTATTGGCTCATTCATCCTAAACCCCCCGGGTTTAAAATCCCAGCTTTGGATGCTGCCAACGCTCAGGGTGGGTTTGTTTTGTTCTGGGGGAGTCTCACAGTCCCTGCTGCTCCATTCCCACTGAGGGAAATGGGTTTTTCTACTGCAGTTGTGGCTGGAATGAGTTCCCACCCAGAATCTCCCAGCACAAATATCTCCACACACCTTTCTAGATGTGTCTGTTTGTACCTACATCTATCTCTCCATCTGCAGCTATGGGAATATTTTTATTTTAATCTCTCAAGCCTGCAGTTCACTCAGCTGAAGTTCTGCATTTGCAAGACAGGGAACAAAATCTTCAGAGAATATGTTCAAAACTGAATGGCCTGTATGAGTTTTGTTTTATGCTAGACTGGATGTGAAAAAATATCAGTTTCATATAAAATATTAAAAGGCAAAAGGGGAACAGTGGCCATGGAACTGAGCAGCTTGTTTCATTTCAAACACCCTGGAGCAACATCTTGTTCCCCCCTTCTATCCATCCTTTCATTCTCAAAACTGATCCCAAAAATGGCTCCTGTCAGTGTTGAAAGTGTGGTCCAGTTAAAATATTTTATAGAACTGTTGTGTGCAAGATCATTTTTATTGTTGCATTAACACGGATTTGTATGTGTACATTTTTTCTCAGCTATTATATTAATGTTATGGTATTCCACTGAAGTGGGAATATATTTCAATTGTTCATGATCAGTGAATGATAACAGCTGATACTGTAAATAAACAGATCACATGTGATTTGCTGCTATGTCAAACATTTCCAGAATCATGATTTATCTTAATTTGAGGGGAAAAATATTAGACACGATGGAAATTTCTTCACTTCTATTCATAAATTAAGTATATATATATTTTATATATATAATATATATAGTATAAAATACATAAAAATCTGTTGGCCATGTATGCTCCAAATATTGTGCTCAGAAACCTTTTCTTCATGAAAAGTGCAGGACAAGCAGGTGGGTTTGATCAGCCACCATTACCTAAAGGTTTGTGTAAAAGAGAATATTTGACTTTATGTCTTCAGATGATTTATCTTAACTCAGAATATTCCTGTGCAGCCACAGCCCAAGAGCAGAAATGTGTGATCACAAATGGAGGATGCAGCAGAATTTCATTTTCCCTTTGTGCTCTGCAGCCTCAGGAAACTCAGGAATATTTCATGGTATGCTGTCATATAAGAACTATTTTTATATCTCAGATAGATTTTAATGGCTTGGGAAGAAAAGTGCTCCTCTCTCTCCTGTGTACACAAAAATTCTGAATGTGCCAGACTGAGATAGGAATCCTCCTGAATATTTAATGAGGATGTGCTACTGACAACTCAAAAAAAAAAAAAAAAAAAAAAGCAGAAGAGGCAGCCCAGGAATATTTTCCCATGGTTCTCCATGCTGTTCAGTATTTCAGGGAACAGCTGAACCTTTCCAGACCCCCTTGCTGGTTTAAAGTGGCTGAACGTGACTTTGGTGATGTTGGCATTGAAGCCACAGCTGGGCCTTTTGTGGGATTTTTTATTTTGGTTTTATTTTTTGAGGGGTTTTTTTTTTAATCTTGAAAGACAAGTTTCACTCTGACATTAAATTCCATTCTGGTGGTTCAATGAGGGTGAGTTCTTCCACCATTTAAGGCAGAGTTTGTTGGGATTTTTCAGTTTGGTTGGTGGTTGTTGTTATTTTGGTTGGTTGGGTTTGTGTTTATTGGGATTTTTTTTGTTGTTTTGAGGGGAAGGGGTTTGGTTGTTTGGACTTTGTTGTTTTTCTCTTCTAGCCTGGATCTCTATTTGTTCATTTTTATTTTCACAGTTTCCTTTCTTTCTTCTGCACTTTTAAGGAGCTGAAGATGCCAGATGCCATCAAAGCTGTTTCAGGGCTGCAGGAATATTTCTATTTCAGTGCCAGATGTGATGATATCTCTGTTCTCATCAGTATACACCAACAGGTGAATTTTTTTTTTCTTTTGAGGGAAAATTGGGTTTTTTCCCCCCTTTTTCACTCCCAGGTCTTCAGCTGAAGGTGCTGAAGTGCTGTAAACTCCACTTGGTGTTTTAAAGCACTGAGCCAGACAAATAATTTTAACAAGATGAGCCAAGCCTGTCACAAAAAATTGAAGGAAAATTAAAAAGGCACTTGAGAAGTTTTGCACTTTCTCTCCTGACCGTGACTTCAGCAATGGAGATCCTGTTAGAGCAGCACAAAGCATTCTCTGAGCTAGAAGTCATTCTCTTTTTTAATTAAAGTTCCTCGACCCCCTATTCTTCCTACAACAAAAATCTCCTATTCTCTTACCTTTACATTTCCAAAGTTCGTGCTCTGAAAAACAGAGTGAAGCATAAATTGTATGCAAAGAAAGAAAGCCAAGTCTGGGAGAAATGAATGTTTTTTGGTGTTTAAGATCCCAACAAAGCTCTTTGTAGAGGGAGGAGCAGCGTGTGTCTCATGAAGGGCACTGAGATTGAGATCCCAGACATTTCCACCTTCTGGGCTGGATCTCCTAACAATGAGCAGGGAGGGGCTGGTCCTGCCCCTCGAGCCCCCCTGGGGACAAGCACAAAGCTCAGCCTTGATTCCAGAGCCTGAAACGGCTCCTGAGAGCTCTGCTCCACCAGGGCTGCACCTGACAGCAGCCACGACAAATAACAGCAAGAATCAAATCCATAATAGCAATAATCAAATCAATATAAAAATAATAAAATCGATAATAGCAATAATCAAATCCATAATAGCAATAATCAAATCAATAATAGCAATAATAAAATC